TATACTTCATTTGGATCAGTAACAGCCTTCTGCTTTACGAGCTTTCAAGGGAATCAAGTCGTTTTCGGGCACGTAATCTTACTGTAGTGGTGATCATAGACTCGACGCCATCTACACGTTCCATTACCTATGAAAGTTACTTCTGAGTAAATTCATTTTAGTTATTTATTTGTCTACTTTGAGAAAGTGAATAACATCAGGTCACAAAACGTCAGGAATACAAATTCTTGTTAACTGATATGTCACATGAATAGAATTATTTTGCTATTGTTAGCCTTTGCCATCTCATGTTACTTAGTAAATGTGCGCATCTATACTGGTTGTTTTTGCACAGTTTACTTGATTACTTAGACACAAAATTATTAATTGCATCCCTAAATTTACTTTTGTTTCTTTTCTGAGACTACTGTAAACGAAAAACCGTGAATAGATAGGACGAATCAAACTTTCACCGTACTTTTTTATTATGCAAAACTTTTCCTGGTACTGACGGCAGTGTGATGCCTCTGTAATTCTTACATTTGCTCAGATCTTCTTTCTTTGGTATCTTGATGAGCTATCTTCCTTTCTAGTCCGTTGACACTTGCTCCTCCTCCAAAATTGTCTTGAATATTTAAGATGAAGCATGTTTGCAGTTACTTCACTGCAGTGACGTCATTGCTTCAGCTGGTACATTTTTTGGTCCTGCCGCTTTCCCGCTCTTGATTTGCCTGATTCCCAACCGTGTTTCTTCGATCGTCGGTGGAGTGACATCTATAGAAAGTTCAGTGTGTGCCGCTTCGATATCCGGTGGATTCACTGGAGCTAGCCCATTCAGCAGTTCCTCGAAGTATTCTGCCCATCTTTTCCTCTGTTCTTGAATCTCCGTGATTGGCTTGCCTTCTTTTCCTTGACAGTTCTCTCCGGTTTACTATATCTCCCTGCCAGTTTCTTCGCTGCATCATTTTGTTTTGTTTCAGATTCCTTTCCCTCGCAGCTTTTTCAGCCGTCGTTGCTAGTTCTTTATTGCCTTTCTGCTTGTAATGATTTTTTTCGCTTCTTTGTTTGCCTCTGCGTACTCTACTTGCGCTTTGACTTTCTCTGCTCGTGTTTCACTGTTGTTAATTGCTGTCTTCTTGTTCTTCCTTTCTTCAATCTTGTCCAGAGCCCCCATAGAGAACATTCCTTATGATGATGCTTGTTAGGACCCAGAACCTCCTGACAAGTTGAACTTAATGCTTCTTTGGTCCCTTTCCAGTTGTCCTCCATCGTAGTTTCTTGTTCTTTCAGTAGATCCTGTAGAGCTTGGAACCTGTTGTTGAGAGTTATCTTGAATTGGTTGATTTTGTTAGTATCTCGAAGGAAGGCTGTACTGAACCTTTGTAATGCTGTTTGTCCAATTGTCCAGTGTTTTTTTGCTTCAGTTTCGTCTTGGCCACAACTAGGTGTTGATCTTTGGCTAGGTCAGCTGCTCTCCTGATTCTCACAGCTCCTATTGTCCTTCTGAAGGTTTGTTGATACAAATATGATATTTCTGGTTCACTGTGGTGTGCTCCGGTGTGATCCATGTAGCTCTGTGTATGTGTTTAGAAGGGAATATTGTGCCACTTATGATCAATGTGTTGAATGCACATAGATTTGCATTATATTTTCCTATCCTGTGTTGTCCCCTTCAACTTTGGCATTTAGGTTTCCCATCAGGATGGTGAGGTCCTTTCGTGAGCACTTCGCCATGATTGATTGCAACCTCGATTAGGACTGATCTTTATCGTCGTCGTTGCTATCTTTGTTGTGTGCATAACATTGGATAACGTTCATAGTGATCTCTTTCTCTTTTGTTTTGAATAATGCTTTAATGATCCCGGATCCATGAGATTCCAACCCAGCAATGATTTACGTGCTTTTTTGCACAACGTCAGAGCAACTCCCCAAGTGTGTGGAGCATTTTCATCTTCATGACCGGAGTACATCAGCATCTCTGCCGTATCTAGCCTTTGCTGTCCATCTTCGGTTCAATAGGTTTCGCTGATTCCGAGTACTGTCAATTTGTATCTCCCCATTTCCATTGCTATTTGACTAGTCTTCCCGGTCTCCCACATTGTCCGGACGTTCGATGTACCTATAAGGAGTGTTACTCTGGTTGTTAGAAAAGGCATCGATCTCGTGATTTCCGAAGAATCTCGGGTATCATTCTGAGGTTTCGTTATTCTTCTTTCAACTTCCACGGCAGAGTTTAAATGGTTTGACTTATTTTTTCTGATTAGTTCTTTTTAAGAGATTTGGTTTTTCTATGGGATAGGGTCGCTAACACCACGCACATTCCTCCTCCTTTACATGGGCTTGCGACTGGCAGTATCTCTAGAAGAGCTACGGCGTTGTTAGCCAGGCCACTGGATACTATTAACCATCAGTGACGCGAGACTTTAATAATACAAGAAAAAGGAAATGTAAAGGAATCGATCAATTTGTACAAGCTTACGAAAAATGTGGGGAATACAAAACATTCAAATTTGTGGTTTAGATTTCAAATTTGTCTATGTAGACAAATGGTATACGGCTTGTATTAGTCCTTTTTTAGTGGGCTTCTGAGAGTGTCTAGTATTCTCCTGAATCAGTCAGTTTAGGGTTCGGACACTAATGATCCAGATAGCAGATTCCATGAGTTGATGACTCGGCGTGAAAATCTGCATGCCACGAGTATTTAGTTAGTCCTAATCCTCTGCACTCATCTGCTACGTACTCTACTTTGTCCTGTTTTGATAGGAAGAAAAAGCGGAAAATTCGTCTGATCCTATTATTACTTTATTATTAGACCGCATCTTAATCTACAGTAGTATAGTAAGAGATTCTACTCTCTCAAGCTGCCCTGTATATAATAGACCCCAGAGTACTGTGATTGAACGAGTAGCTGCCCATTATACTTTTTCTACTCCAACCGAATCCCGTTTTAAGTGAAGACTGGCGGCCTGAATGAAGTTTTTAGACCTGGATCTAACTAAGATTAGGTATGCTGTGGTTGACATTTTATTATCTAGCCTGGCAAGTGTCCGTCTTAAAGCCAAATGGGATTTGAACTTGAGGGCTGTGTTTTGTTTTAACCAAAGATCATCATGTGGCCAAACTACGGGCATCCAATCTTCTCCTGCTCTATACCCGTTTACCTTTGCATCCATCAATGTGCGTGTAGACACATGGCCACACTGATAGGCACCAGTAGGTTCTTATACAACCTAGTCAAAATACCTAAGTTCGTTAGATGCCAGTCCACTGGTCTACAGGCTAAGTGTTCACGCGACGCCAAAGGACCTGGGTTCGAATCTTACGGATCGCGGATGAGCACTTCTGAAGAACCTCACACTAGCAGGAGACAACCGTCCAGTGCTTCTAGGTTTCCAATGGTGTCCTAAAATGATCAGTCCATGATTTCAGTGAAATATCTAAGTCCGTGTAAATCGTACATGATATGCAATGTCGTAAATACACACTCAGAACATGATTTCAAAGTACTTATTATTATTTAAGGCTTTATTCAATATTATAATCTGGTTTAATATGGAATTCTTAGCACGAGTTATCTCAACAAGTTTTTTTACCAAAGAAAACAAAAAAAACAGAAAAGAAATGAAAAAAGGCTTAAAAAATCTGGGTCTGTCCAAATTTTCAAATTTGAGACATGCCAAAGAATACAGATAATTTACTAAGTCAACTCTAACAGCCTTTTCCTCACAAAGTAAATTTGCTAGGTAAGGTATTATGAAATTTTAGTAGATTTGCTTGTGTGCAAGGATTTTATCGTATTAACGTGTAGTTCTACCAGAAGATATACAAGGAGAAAGATATGAGTGAAGTAGATGGTTAGTAGCTGATAAGATAACACCTGCCAAGAGTTTGCAAGACTTAAGATGTCTATCCACAGGCATATCAATAATGACTTCAAAAGATTCACTAGACACCTTGCAAACTACCTTCAGCACTCTCCGAAAACAGCAAAGTCTTTACTCAAAAGCCTGGGAGAGAATAATGGAGAACGATGTAGAATAAGAATACTTCACCCGGCCCTGCTGATATTCTCGTGTCTTAAACGCTTCGGGCCTTCAGTTTGTCGTCTTGATTGAAGTGTGAGGTAAACAGGCAATCTGGGGATTTTTTATGCTCAGTCCTTAATCTATAATAGGTTGCTGAGTGAAAACTGTCTCAAATTACTCCACCATGGTTTCTTCTTTGAGATGCACTCTCATCTGTAATTTGTTTGGCAATCCAATGGCGAGTTCTTTCCTGTAATTTGTCTGCAACAACAGTCTCCGGCTGCTTGATTATATATTAAGTCAACTGCTCTCACATTTTTACTAATAGCGCTCATGTACCCGGAGCTCTACATCTTATTTGCTATGACAGGGATGATGACGACGTTTAAACATCTTTTTTCTTAGCAGACGTCAAGTATCCTGGTTTCTTCAGGGATGGACATGTTTTATCTTCTTTGGGCCTGTCCATGGTGTAATTGGTTGAATTACTTGATTATATAACTGATGAAAATGAGCCCATGTCTCTCCTGTTGACGCAATGCAATAGACTTCCGAGTTTACGGTCGACGCTGCACAACGATCGCCTTCGTGTCTGCCTTCCATTTGTCGAGACGGGTCGGCGTAACTGCTTGACAGACCCTATCATCCATAAAGCTGAATAAGATGGTCGCGTGATCACTACTACCCATTGGTGTGTCTGTCACCAAAGTAAACAGGTGGAAGGAACTTGAATTGACTTACTCCCCTACCACTTATGAAGGATAAGTCAAGTACGGATGAAGAGTTTCGTGAGTCATATCTGATAATATCAATAATGTGTCGAAATAGAGCTAGGGCCATAATGGTTTCTAATAATTTATAATAAAAAGAAGTATTTGAAGACAATAGTTCTAAGTTTTCATGATCTATAGAACGAAAAATAACGACTAATCAGGCCTAATAATGACCTCAAATCAACGTTTACGATAGGCTAAAACGAAAGGTCTTGTCAATTGTATTTTTAAGGGTTTAAGTATGGCGTATTCTGGTGGCAATTCAAACGTTGCGCTACTGTTTCAATGCAATGAATGACTCACGTGTGCAAGTAGGGGTAAAGAAACTCCCTATGCACCTACAGGTAACATAAAAATTACGTATTGAATCATCAAAAAGAGTTCCCAAAATCGTTTACTAATTAAAGGAGGGAAGGTAGTCAATGATGATCGTATGTTTACTGCTGATATCTATATTGAAGATGGTGTTATAAGGTATATTGTCATGTAACTTGATTTTGTGCAGACAAGTAGGTAGTCAGCTTTCGATTCCAGGAGGAGTCAGGATCATTGAGGCATCAGGAAAGATGGTCATCCCAGGTCATCCAAACTTTTAAGTGTAGATTATTATTCTGGTTTTTTTTAGGTGGTGTTGATCCTCATACATGCTTTGATTCCTCTTGTTTTGGTTTGGATACGTCGGATGATTTTTATTCTGGTACGAGGGCAGCACTTGCTGGGGGAACTACTACCATAAGTTTGTTCTTTTGAAATCACTTATGTTTCAGTCAATTGTATTGTCCCTACAAAATCTTCACTTTTGGATATGTATGAAAAGTCACGTCAGGCAGCAGATTCCAAAGCCTGTTGTGACTATTCGATGCACTTCATCTTGTCTCAGTACGATTCCAAAATATCCACAGAAATGGAGCTGCTAGTCAAAGAAAAGGGAGTGAATTCTTTTAGGGTTTTTTTGTCAAATACGAACGACATGTTAGTAGATGACGGTGATTTCTTCGAAATCGCAAAGAGGTGTAAAGATCTTGGTGCTGTTCTTCAAGTTCATGCAGAGAATGGAAAATTGGTCAAGATACTAGAGTCGAAAATATACAATGACGGTATAACTGGCCCAGAGGGTTACTTGTATTCACACCCAGAAATGGTTAGTTATGGTCTTAAAATATTTTTAGGATGCTTTTCTAAAACACTTCCATATAACAACTCTTACCAGATATTTTTACACTCTGCTGGGTTTCGCCTTATATTCCCTCTAACATCTTAGCAGTGACATTGTGTTTCCCTCAAATGTCTTGATACAGCTGATGGCGGGAGAGTCCAATCTCCCCATCGTAGTGCCTAACATGGGCACGCGTATACAGCCACTGTCAGAGAAGTCCCACTTACCGCTTCTTGGCGGGGTCTTGTTTACGAAATTAAGAGGACAAAAAGCGAATGTCCGGCCCTCTAAGCGGCTTGGTGGATAATTATGGTCCATCTAGGGTAGTTGTAGGGTCTATGAAGTGACGCTTGTGTACGACAACCTAATGCACGTAGCCCAGTCTACTTAGGCACCTGTAGGCTCTCCAATCGTCCGTATATACCGTAGTTCCCGGCAGCACGTATTGTTGTATAATCGGTATTATTGTCGGTGCCTTTCGGTTCCTGACTTTTTGGAAATGTCCTTTTCCTAGTGATCTATCATAGATTCCAAGGACCTGTGAGGTATATTTATGGAAGAGGTACTTACCCAATCTTCTTAGATACTGCGGCCATGGCTGAATTTGCGTTTCCTTACGACTGTTTCATCTATTTCAACAATCCTCCCAACTCCTCCATATGATTCGTGTACGCTTGTCAATTTTGTAGCACATATTTCTCGGCAATACTCGTACCACTGAATTGCCGAAACGCCACTTACATCGGAAAATGAGGCCGCGAGTGTAACTGGTGCTTTTATTATCCAATTGGCAACAAGGATCATTATCTGCCTTAACGTTAATTTCGATCGAGCGAAGAAAGTTCCTGCTCGAGCTGACTTTCTCTTCCAACATGAAGAACATCGAAAGATAACATCATCTCGGCAAGTTGCACACTGTACAATGGTCATTTCACTACCACAGTCACAAGTATATGAACTCCTCAATAATCTTTTCTCTTGAAGACGCTCAATTATAACGTCTTCCTTAAAATCCGCTGTAAAACGGTCGTACGTAAGCATTTTGAAACGAAATTAGCGCCGTGACCTTGAAAACACGCGAAAGCTACTGATTGGCTCGGCAGTATAGTTTAATGTTACCGACCTTTAAGTCAAAGGCTCTAGGTGTGGTCACCTAAAAAAAACCACCTGCCTTGGTTTGCGCACCCGGTTATTATTCCAGCACACGCAGTATGGCGCATATATATTTGGAGCCTCATTGCATCAATATTTGTGTTCAAGTAAATAAGTTGGTGATAAATAACCTTTAATATGCGTTCTGTAACATCGAATTATCTGAATAATTTGCTTAAACACTTCAAAAATAGATTTCTCTTGTCGGTTATGCCAAAGCATGTCGGATTTTTTTTAATTATTCAGCTTTAGGGAGTCGATAACGTAAGTTTTGTGTCGCAATTTTATGAACCATAATGTGTTTACCCAATTATATGTAAGTCCTAAAAATGATGCAGGAAATTTGGAGATTATTTTAAAGTTTTTTAGAAGTATTAAGTAATTCTACCATAAGAGAACAATTTTAATGTGTTCATAGGATCTATTGCATTCTAAAGGTGTTGTTTTTTTATTTGTTAGAGGAACACGTGTGTAAGCTTTACTAGCACTTGATGACGTGTAATAAGTGGTAACTACCAGCTATAAAAGTAAGGTTCTCTTGATCCTTAGTATGGCAAGTGAATCATTTAAATTAAAGTACGTTTGGGAGCTAGGATCTTGGTGGTTATCTCATTTTTTAATGCAAAAGTAGTCCTATTAGAAACGTAAAACTAGTATATAGAGTTGCTCAAATACTGTTATTCATATTCTGCTAATAAATTTATAACTTGGTGATTTATTATATAGTTTAAAACCTATGTGACTGATGAATAGTATTCTTTTATCCCAACTAATTTGGATCACTTAACAGAAAAAGTGTATCCACCCTAATTCTTTGGTTTTGTATAATATACTTTACTTCGTTCTGACTGTTTACTGATTGGCTAATATATCTCAAGGTCACTTGAAAATCGTTCAAAGGTCGTCCATAAATTATGCTCTCGCCGGGATTTCGTGTTTACGAGTTTTAATGTATCTGAGACAAGATTGTCAATCAAGCAAATCCCTCTGCCTGAGTAATTAGTTCCTTTTGTTCGTGATATCTACAAATATAAACATCTTTTCACTAACATTCCAAAACGTCAACATTCACCACACCTCAATTTGCAGTATCGAAAAAAGATTCGTGTGATTATTAATGGTTGACAGAAGGATAACTTCTTGATTTATGAAAAATCAGAAGACATAAATCATCAATAAGTACTTCGTTTATAGGCTGGGTTTTCGAAGCATATGAGACCATAGAACTGGTGTTATTGCTTCAAGACACTTTAGTGTTTGACTAACTATCATACCACGGTCTTATTTGCTGTTTGTTTGACACTCAAATCATCGACTTTATCAAATAAAATGTTTCTGTTTATTTTTACAGGCGGAGATTGAAGCTACACATCGAGCGATTTCTTTAGCTGATGCTGCTGGTTGTCCTCTATATATTCTTCAAGTCACTAGCCCAAAAGCAGCAGATCAAATATCAGAAGCTCGTTGGAATAGAAATGTTGTTGTGGGTGAAACATTAGCCGCTGCACTGGGTGCTGATGGTACACATTATAAGAACAGTTGCTGGCGTCATTCTGCGGGATATGTTCTGTCTCCTCCACTAAGAATTAACCCTAATACTCCAGACAAGCTGATGCGTTACGTCTCCACTGGGGTTCTGGAATGTACTGCTAGTGGTCACTGTACTTTCAAAACTGAACAGAAAGCTGTGGGAAAGGATGATTTCCGCAAAATCCCACCTGGAGTCAATGGGGTAGAGGATCGAATGTCAGTTGTTTGGGAGAGAGGAGTGGTAATTTGCTACTTTAATTTTATGAAAACCGCTATTAAACTTGTCTTTATTTGTTAGATGTCTGGTTTTATAGACCCATGCAAGTTTGTTGCTGTGACTAGTACAAATGCTGCGAAAGTCTTTAACCTCTACCCACACAAGGGAAGGATCGATGTTGGAAGTGATGCTGATTTGGTTATTTGGGATGGTGATGCAACTCGCACGATATCAGCAAAAAATAACCACGAAAATGTTGACTTCAACATATTTGAAGGTCTTCAGTGCCATGGCGTACCTGTAGTCGTGATCTCTGCTGGTCGGGTTGTTCTGGAGGATGGAGAACTTAGAGTAACTCAGGGTGCAGGTCGTTTTGTACCAGCTTTACCATTTTCACCTTACATTTTCGAGCGAACAAAAAGACTGGCGCTGGTTAGTTGTACATGATTGTAATGTATATTTAACTGTTATCAATATTAGATACCGTCATTAGCACCTTTAGTGAATTCTATCTCATTATGGTTAGGACTATGTGCAATTTGTTGAGTGATATTTATGGTTTCGTATGCTGCACACTTTTACATAAGTTTCGGTCAGTTAGTCGGAAATCACAGAAGTTCAAAAACGTGATATGCCATGATTACGTAGGACTATCAAATCAAGTGATCTATCCATGTTGTGATATTTTTTCTGATGGGAGCCATGACTGCTCACTGAAAAAGTCCATTTGTTTAACTTGCCTTGCTCTAAAATCATTCGAGTGTTGTTGGTAAACTCCTCAACGAATATTCCACATCATAATCCTTATACTTAAGTAGTTATTTGGTGTATGTGGTGTTTTGTTAACCTACAAATCCCAGCACTCCCTCACTATTATACAGGTAATTTACTCGATACTATTTTGATAGAATTAAATTTTATATTCAAATGCAAAGCTGTGTATTCGTTTCAGATCATTATGACTAGCTGATTTAAAAGAATATTTCTTCACTTAAGTCGTGTCTGGAATGTCTGAATGAAAACATTCAAGTTATTACATTACAACGATCTTTTATTAGGAAGTATTGATTCCATTGGTAAAAAAAACCATATGCCTTAGTTAAACTTTTAGAATGCAGCATAAAATGTCATAAAATTATCCCATGGATTTCTGATACACTATACCTTAGTTTCATCTTTAGTAGATTTACCGTTTTTGTTTGAATCACTTTCATCCAAAGATTATGTTAACAAAACATAGATTTGAATACGGAAAGTTCAAACATTTACTTGGGAAGTTAATCTTCATAAATTTGTAAGGAGGGCTAACATGAAATTCTTCATCTGAAGCCCTTTGATCGTTCGCAATTGCTTATTGTTTTCTGCTATAAGTTATCCACGAATTATTTTCTACAAATATTTTCTGTAGATGCGTTCAATCAAACCTGTAATTCGTGATTCATATACTGGTCCTATATCCACAGAATTCACTGGTCCAATGAAAGATGGCATCGTCAATAATGGTACAGAAAAAGCGTCAGTGGGGTCAGATGCTGAGGGCTTGCGCCCTCGCTCACCTACACGTTCGGGTGGTCGGAATATGCAGGAATCCAGTTTCTCTCTGAGCGGTAGGTTTATTTAAAAAACATCCTACCCACAGAATTATCCTTGGATGTTATTCGTTTCAGTTTATAACATGTTATATTCATGTTGAGCTATTCATCAAATAACAAAATGCAACTACAGTGATTAGGTTGATGGGAGTAAATTTGAAACTTATAGTAATAACTACGAACGGTAAAGTACTTGAGAAAGTAATATTTTAAGATTCAGATGGCAAGTCCATGCCTTATTTGGGTATCTCCTTGACCGAAAAGACTATGATCTAAGAGAACATAGAATCAGAGTCTAGGAAATTCGCAAAAGAGTTGCTGTTATCTTGATGTTTTTCATTTGGAGCGTGGAATTTTATAATCAGAAAACCGAATATTAGTCCTTAAATTATTGGGTTATTTGCTGATCCGATGAATAAACTTGTAAAGTCCTATGCATATATCCGAACCTAAAAGCCACAATGTAGTTCCATATTAGTATGATCCAAACGTTTAGTGAATTAATGCTTGATGAACACACAAATTAATAAAATGAGACTAAGGAACAGTCAAGTAGCTATTCAAAAGCCTGAATACAAAAATCTTTAACGTGTAATATTGTTATCAGGCATACTATTGCTTAGCTCAACCTGAAAAATTATTTGATCCAACTCTACCAATCATAATTTACTATTGTAACTGGAAGGTCCAATTTGTGACTAATAGTTCCTCGGTGCCGTTGTGTTTAGCAGCATCTTCAAAGAATTAGTGTTATAGGTCGAAATAGCGGAATAATGAAGCGCATGGTGCGACGCTGTTGGTTGAGTTAACCAATTAAGAGCTAGAGATAGCTATGTGTACCACGTTAGAAATAAGATTCAACTTAGGTTTGTAAAATTCTAATTTCCGTTGAATTAGTAAAATAGCCAAATAGAATCATCAGTCACATATGTGGGGGCATACTATTACATGCACACTCACATATACGAGGATTATAAAAAGATTGTATTGTAATATCTTCAGTGTTATATATTTTCTAGTCTTTATGAATCACTTATCGAGTATAATTTATATATTTAGTCTTACAGATGAGAACGTTTCACCATTTGTGATAACTTTGTTACATGACGTAGCAATTCTCTATTTTATTGTGTAAAACTAACTAAAAACCTGCTTGTACAAAAATAATAACATATTCCGAAAGGAAGATTTTCTTCGCTGAACCGTCTTCAATGTGTTTAAATAAATGTTGGTTACATGGATAATACTACAATGTCAAGACGTTTAAACGAACAAAATTTTCTTTTCGACAATTTCGTTTACTACGATATCCTTAACGAACAGTTGTGTTGTGTGTTACTGATGTCGACAGACATAAGTAGTATGTATCATCAATCAGAATTAATGTGCCTGGGGGCAAAAGATTGAGAAGAGAAGAAAAGGGAGTGCTGAAACGAAGGAACAGTTAAGTTCGAAATAATTGATTGGTAGTTTGCAAATGAAGAATTTACTGTATGGTTCTCAGATTTTACTAAGAGATTCCGTAATTTTGTGTCCAAATAAATTTGATTGTTCCCACTGGTGTTCTCGTTTACTACAATGTAGCTAACTGAAATATAGAAACCTAAATAAAGAATAATCTACTTTTAGCATACCCACGTTAATGTATGACTAATGAAATAAATATTAAAGACTACTGAATATCGAAACTTGGAAAGAAAAACCTTAAGCATTAAAATTATTGTTTTATGGTCAGTTGATCCAATAAAGAAAATGAACGATGAGTGTATGTGTAAACAAGTTATAGACTGAAAATTGATTACCTTATACCCTTTTTTGCTTACATCTGCGATGGTGTATTTAAAGTTCGAGAAGCAATGTTCCAGCTATTTTTGGACTGTTCAGTTCTTGTGAAGTGTTACATTCAACTTTTGTCAACATCTTTTTTAGGAGCTCAGTACGATGATAGTCGTCCAATACGCACGGGGATTCGAACCAAACAACCTCCTGGTGGGGCATCAAATGCCTTATGGTAGACATTCATCAAGAAAAGAAGTTCTGTATATCAGAAGTTTGAAGCTAAACACCAGTGACACTGCACAATTAACATGTACTTACTGAAATTGTTAAAGATAGATCTGGTTCTTTATTAGATGTGCTCACAGTTATATGTAGCTTCGTTCAATCAAGCAATCTTTCGTATCGTAATTGATGTGTACTTTACCAAATTGAAAAACTTGATCGTTATCCTAGTTATGGTTGTTTATCAATTCAAATATAATGTGCTACTTCATAAAAATGTTAAATACCAAAGATTTTTCTGTCGGTTTTTTCGTGCGTTGTTACGAATGTCTTTGTATGACCTAAAAAGAGGATACATGCATCGGACTGCATTTACTGAGGCGTCCGTTTAGGTGGGTACCCGTCTTGCAACCTCACTCTTGCACGCGAATTACACTACTTATTTTAAATTCCATCTTAAGACAGAATAGGTGCTTACAAAACTCTTCTTTATCGTAGACTTCACAAACTCCGATGTAAGTGGCGAATATAAAAACCCCAATAATTTTGTAACTGATATTACAATGAAACTTCCTAGCCTTGTCTGACTTAATTTCATTCTAACTGGAACTGCATGAACTTTTCAGGCGTACAACAGATAATATTGTTAATGCACATGATAATATAGACACTTCAAAAAAAACCAATATATTGAGAGTTCCAGCCACTCAAATTATTATTATTATTGTACATAAGATCGGAGGTTCAAGTTAGTATTCATCTTAATCAGCTAATTAACGGGTAATTGTCAGACGTTAAAAGTATGTATTTAGTGATTATTTAAAAAAAAAAATGAAGCCATACGACTCCAAAATGCGAATAGTTGTTTTGCAAAGCATAATCTCTCAATTAGATAAAGTAGTCGACGTTTTCAACGTTGAATTGAGATCAACTGAATTTCTACTGGATTGTGGTGTATTCATTCGAAGGAATACTTCAACATTCGTAATACAATTATATTCAGACGTACTAATACCGTTGGTTTTAATATCTTGATGTTCAACAAGCTAGAAACAAAGGTACAGAAAAAACAATAATTTACGAACCATTATTGACGATCTAGAAATGTTATCGGAGAATCAAAAGAAAGCGAATTGTCAATGTTATCCGCCAACAATTGGATTAAAGTGTATTAAGTATTTGATTAGCTTCACCAGCCGAACTCTAAAATCGTCATCAAAAGTTCTACATCGCTACAAAATTTGGTTGTCCCAGAGATTACCATTTTCCAGTTTATTCACTAAATGTAAACCGCCCTGGTTCTTTGTATTGATAAGGTGTAGTCAAGTGACTGACCGTATTTCGATTCTGAATTCGCGTTTCGGAGACGTAGTATACATTGTTGGCGCGAGATTCTAAAGTATAGACTAGGAAAGCTGCCGTCGTATCGAACACTGAAAGCTCCAGTATATGCTTTCACAAATGATCATAGAGATGAACGAGGACTGTTTGTTGTGTAGGTAATAGAACTATCAAGAGAAATGAGGGTTTCATAGTGAACGAGATGATTTCGAGAACCTTCAAAATCAAAGATGCTTTACCTTATATTCAAGAAGATTTTGGAGGAGGAGCAAGTGTCAACGGACTGGAAAGAAGGATAGCTCATCAAGATACCAAAGAAAGAAGATCTGAGCAAATGTAAGAATTACAGAGGCATCACACTGCTGTCAGTACCAGGAAAAGTTTTCAACAGAGTGTTGCTGAACCGAATGAAAGACGCAGTAAACTCCGAACTTCCAGATCAACAGACTGGATTCCAAATTGCAACACTACGGATCATCGTCGACCAATCTATTGAGTGGAACTTGTCACTATACATCAACTTCATCGACTATGAGAAGGCATTTGACAGAGTGGATAAGCGAAACTTATGGAAACTTCTTCGACACTATGGAGTTCCTCAGAAGATTGTCAACACTATCCAGAGCTCATACGACTGACTACAGTGCAGAGTCGTGCATGGAGGACAGCTGACAGATGCATTTCCAATAAGGACCGGAGTCAGACAAGGCTGTCTACCCTCCCCTTCCTCTTTCTTCTGGTGATTGAATGGATTATGAAGACTTCGACATCTGAGGGGAAGCACGGAATACAATGGACATCTCAGAACCAATTAGACGATTTGGACTTTGCAGATGACCTAGCCCTCCTATCCCATACACACGAACAAATACAGACGAAGACAGCAAATGTAGCAGTAGCCTCTGCATCAGGGAGCCTCAACATGCACAAAGGTAAAAGCAAGATCCTTAAATACAACACGGAGAACACCAACCCTATTATACTTCATGGAGAAACTCTGGAAGAGGTGGAAACATCATTGATGATCAAGTACAATATGACGCAGATGTGAAGGCGAGGATTGGCAAAGCAGGGACCGCATTTCTACAATTGAAAAACATAAGGGACTCAAAACAACTGTCAACCAATATCAAAGTGAGAATCTTCAATACGAACGTCAGGACAGTCCTACTGCACGGAGCTGAGAATTGGAGAACTACTACAACAATCATCTAGAAGGTACAAGTGTCTATAAACAATTGTCTACGTAAGATACTCAATATCTGTTGGCCGGATACCATGAGCAACAATTTATTATGGGAGAGGACAAAGCAGGTTTGAGCTGAAGAGGAAATTCGGAAAAGACGTTGGAAGTGGATCGGAAATGCATTAAGGAAATCATCAAATTGCATCACGAGGCAAGCCCTAGCTTGAACTCCTAAAGGGAAGCGGAAAAGAGGAAGACCAAAGAATACATCACGCCGGGAAATAGCAGATCTGAAAAGGATTGCAAAGGACAGAGTTAGATGGAGAGTACCTACAATAGGTATCAAGGCTACCGTCACTTTTTCCTGGCCACCCACAACTAAAAAGCGTGGGTAGAGTGCTGATGAAGTTATGAACCTCAAACTAGGGCGATTATTCGTTGCTACTTTAGGTAGGATTCGGTTTTATTGGTAGAACTGTTGATGTAGAGTCATAAGCGTATACTCCGTCGATAAAGTAATAGAAACATAAAAGTAGGGATGACTTAGGAAGTCGATAATTGTAGACGTACAACCTGTTTTCTAAATTCCGAATCTATAACTTGTGAATTATTTAATTTCGCGAACTGCCAAGTTTACTGTTTCATCGTACTACTTTTGTTAATTTCTTCTATATATGCTGTTATAAAGTACGGTAACTTAAACACTTCTGAATGCGGTTTCGCATTGAACATATATCTATGTTCACTTGATCGGTTAGCTTCATTTTCTCATGAGTACAACTTTCTAATAAATATAATGCTAATTAGTTAGTGATGTGATGTATATGAGTGCAAACTGTTCACGGAAATGAATCTACTGTTTCAGTATATACACATAAATAGCGAAAATAGTAGATACAGAACAGAAAATTTTTAGTCAATAAAATCATGACAATTCTATATTTCGTCGATAGATTGCCAAGGAGAAATGCTTTCCAGCTTTCTGTTATAAATATATAATATTGGACACCTCTCTGGATATTATAAAAAAATTATTATGCACAGAAAATAAAATAGAACTTACAGATTCATATGATGGCCTTATTGGATATATATCAGGTTGAATAATAAGATTCGAAGATATGAGATTTAACGATTCAGACTGGGCATCGGTACTTTGCTCGCCATCAGAATGATCTAACTCCATATGGTGTACATCCATTACAGCAGCTATCATAAAAAAATTACATAAACGTCAAACAAACTAAGTAAGGAAGTTTAAAAGCACCTGAGAACTTATATCAAATTTTCAGTTATCTAGTCTAGGTCTTAAGGAAAACAGGGAATACTGCTTGTGAGCATAAATTTGTTGAGTAATCGAGAAAATGGCGCTATCTTACTAAAAATATATACTTTAAGTATATCCCGTTAACACCCACGAAAATCCCTTTCTCCAATTTCGCCATCTTCAAGAAAATATAATTAGGAATATGATGAAAAGAAGTTGATATTTTAGAAATGAATTATAAATAAAAGTAAAAAGAGCGTGTCGATTCAATAATTCCTTATAGGTAGATGGGCATAACAAGAAACGAGCGGTAAACAACTGTGATATGACGCTTCTTATTAAGTTTAAAGTGATATTTGATTAATCTTTTACAGAGATGAATTACTTATCAGAAAATTACGACCATAAATAGTGGTGGGATTCAACGCTCAAGTAACCAATTTAAAAAATATTATAGCTTAATTAACGTGCGAAACTGTAAACTACTGAACACAAGGGCACAAATTTTAGTTCATGGTAAGTTTTACATAGACAGCTCAAGATTTATTAACAGTTTCACAGACAACACAAAAGTCATGGAGTGTCTCGGAACTTGATGAAATTAGTGACAGTTTATATGGGTCTATTAACTTTGGAGAAAAAGAAATGTAATATACGCTGAGGAATCTTTTTGAATCTATAAATACTTCGAGAACTTTTTCGAGATCAATAATACTCTACGAGGAAATATTATGATTTAAAATGAAATTGATGTGTTATTTTTGTCAATAATGGAGTAGACAATTCAGAAAAAGGAATAATTCAAATCTTTCTTTGGATTCAGATACATACGTTATAAAAAGTGGAAGTAATAGCATACTAACTTATGGGTGGATACAATATGTGAAAAATGGGATGATAATATAAATTCAGTTATTGCTACAAACCTGTGGTTGAATAAAAATATCCCAGTAAAGATCCGTAGATAATTAAATGAACTAAGATGACAAGTGAGGGCGATAATAGCTACTTGCTTTGAAGTAACAAATGTGTGTAATATTACGGTTAATATGGAACTTGCAGTAATGAGAAATGGGTTTAATATTGCTCAGAAGTTAACCTGGACATAAGTTGAAAATAATTCATTTATGGTTACAATAAAACATGAGTATTCAAATTTTCATAATATTTATAAAAAAAATAGCATTGGTAAGAATAAATCCTAGTCAAAATGAGAATATAGTGATATGATTTTTTCTAAATACAGACTTGGAAGAAAGTAGATTCAAAGAACAAACGAGATACATATAAATATTAATTCTCACAAAAAGATAATTTCCTCATGAATATGTAAAGTATAGTCTATATTCCTTTACTATATCAATTAAGATAGGGTGCAATGATTTGGAATTTATATCAGGAATCTGAATGGCAAGTAAGAAAACTAACAACAACCTTTTTTAAACTAGTAATGAAGTTCACCGTGACTTTCACGAATATAAATAGTAAAACAAACAAACAGAGCTTTGTTAGGACGTTCACAAAACTTATAATGGTCGCTTGAAGATATGAAGACAGGAACTAGTGCAGATTGTAAAATCGCACCACGTATGCCAGAAAAATTACAGATTAAATTGTACAGATGAGAGAATCTCATCGATAACATTTAATGAAATATATTTGATAATAATAGATCATTAAAGCATCTATAAGAAAAATTTATTTAGTTGGAATGACAGAATCATTCTCTAACTAATCAAAATGAAATACATCAGGTAGTTGTTTTATTTTTTGGTCTAATTTATTTACGAGGTACGGATTTATGTACTTAGCTTTGGACAAGATATTCTGTAGGAAGGCTAGTGATACTACTCAACTTATCAAACCAAGGTAGGAGTCACAAAGTTTAACTCTGTAAGCCAATGATATAAAACCGAATCCCATAACCACTAGGCTACTTATATTAAGGACATCTAGTAAACTTTATCAAATGAAGGATTATTTACTGACAGAAAATTATAACCTTAGTAACTCAGTCAAAGACGTTCTGGTTTTTGTCATATATATTTCGTTAATTTGTATAACCCCACTTTACAAACATAGTTAATATGAGTGAACCTTCACTTACCAGCCATTGAGTCAGTAAATGAAATATCGCCAATCGATGGAGAACCTGGTGGATAACTACAAACAGAATCAATAGTCCTAAAATCAAATGATTTCTTAGCATTCTCTTCTATTTTGAGTGAAACATGTACATCATTATTTGTAGGTGTAGAGAATGTTGTTTTATGTAAATCTGGCGTTGATAATCCAATTAATGGAGATGGAGTACTATCAGTAGGTCGAGTAGATGATTCAGTTAATATATTTTGATTATCATGAGTAGAAGATAAAGGATAACGTGGACATAATGTATTTAACAGGGATGCCAGTGTATCATTACTGAATGATGATGACAAAGAGCATTGGTTTGTCTCTGTTGAGACTAACAACAAATCATCCATATTAACATCTGTATTAGAAGAATTTTTAGATAATGAAATAAATGACATTACATTATTAGATTGTACTGATGATAAATTTGGTGATGATAATAAACTTGATATGCTATGAACTTGAGGTAAATGATCATTGAAAACAATTGATGTTGTTATTATCGGTTCATTATTTGATACTTTAATGGATGACCATAAATTATTAGAATTCGATGGTGTTGAAAGTGTTATTGATTTAGAATGGATATTATTAACAGATGCTTCATCGCCCTTGATTGTTGTCGAAGTTTGTTTATCGATTGCCTGTAAATTTCGATAATATATGTATATAAATATAGATGAATACAGTCAAAATTGTTTATCAGTATAGGGCTGTGGAGATTAATGAATTCCATTGAAATTATGGACTGATCAATGTTAGACCACCATTGAAAACATGGAAGCACTAGAAAACCGTTTCATCCTAGTATGAGACTCTTCGTTAGTGCGTATCCACACAATTCAGTACATCCAGTCTCGCGCGAATGTGAAGTTGGTTGCTCAATATAGTAGACTTATTGAAATAAGACATTGGAATCGTTGGATCCCGGCTCAATGTTCAAAGGTTTAACGTCCGTGCGAGTCTGGAGGTACTGAATCCGATACCCGCGTGCGGGATTGCGGATACGCACTACCGAAGTGTCTCATACTAAGATGAAACGGCTGTCCAGTGCTCCCATGTTTTCAATGAAATTCAACAATCTCCACATCCCTATACTGATAATTATCATGTGTTTACAAGTGGTTGGCTTTGAGATGTAATTTTCATAGTTCCAGTAAGGAGCTGTGATCAGTGAAGTTCAACTGTGTGGGTTGTGACGCAGTAACCCACAGAGGACAATGATCACTTATCAATGCATCTACTGAATAGTTCATCATTATAAGCTGTAATAATACATGATTAGTTAAACGGTATACAGACAATTCAGAGTTACGAATGGGATACGTATCCTAGATATTAGCCTTAGTTGTTATTCGAAATATCATACTATCAAACAAGTTAAAGATGTCTAATAGTGATTAATCTAAAACTAAGGCGTAATAATTGATATACAGTTACCTAACAACTAAGATCAGTTCGTGATTAAAATTAGTTCAAAGTTACTGGTCACTTTCGTGGAACCAAAAACTTCAATATAATACAAAATTCACTTCAAAAGAAAAACTTACCTGAAGTAATTGAATTGAAGAGTTTGAAGATTTAGTTGTACAAGGATTCGCTGAAGTGATGTAGGATGGAGGTAAATTATTTGAAATAGGTGTAATTGTTGATGGTTTTGATTGCAATTCTTTAGTTAGAATCGAATTTTCAGTTAAACGTTTGTTGACTTGTGATATAATACTAGTTCGACGTCGTGCATTAAACGCCTTTAAAGATTCTAACGATGAAGTAACAGGTGAATTATTTTCACTCTCAACCGTACTTGTGGACGTTGAATGAATAGAACTAGACGATACGAAAGTGCTTGTTAATGGTGTCGATGTTTTTACACTGACCTGAATGGGTACAGTTGATTGTTTCGGTAGTAATGGGATATATGATCCTTGACTTATTGCTACAGTTGAGGTTACTAGTCGTTCATGATCTAACTGACGTTCAACAATAGGCACTTGTATCTAAGTACATTAGAAAAGGAAAATATTAGTGCACAAATAATGAAATCAGGAAGAATTTCAGGGAAACCTAGTGTCTGCGACAATAATGCTTCCTACAGATCACTATGATTGAAATAAACCACAAACTTGGAAGTACAATTCATATACCTATGCATAGTGTAAGTAAGAATATTTTGGACATAAATATCAATTTACAGAATAAAAACAAATCTCTTCAATGGCTGATTGTTCTAATATCTATTTATTCGCGTTCGATGTTAACCCTAGAATTTTGTGAAGGGTCATCACTGGATCACAAATTCATGTGATCGATCACACATCTTTACAGAAGCACAGTGAATTTGGAATTAACATTGTATGAATTTTAATCTGAGCTTTTAAGTATTTACCGCTCTGAGATAAAGAATTAGTCCGTAGAAAGAAAAGTACAAGGTAATTTTAATCCCGCGGTTTACGGGAAGACAAGGAGTTTATACACCTATGCCATTCTGAGCCATGTCAATCAGAGTCTCCAACTCCTGGTTGCGATAGTCGCGTGGACTCCAACCGAGTAGTCTGCATCTAAAAACATGGCTAGGACTAGAAGTTAGTGACTTCAAGGGTTGATGCCACGTTTAGACTGCCCATAACTTTCTTTAATTCGTCTCGAATGCTAGTCACAACTTTAGTGACAAAACAAGGATTCAATTTGTGTTGTAAAAATCTACTTATGCAATTTATGGCTTCTTTCAGTTAACCTTTCACATTAAAAAACAAGCTTCCTACTTGAACTAACTTTTTGTCCAACCGGTTGTTGTAATAAGACTAATTTCGGACTTTGAACTGAGGCTATTGGAGGTCTCATTAAACTATTTGTTGTTAATAATGAAGAAATAATTGGATTTGGAGACGAAAAGGTGGGATTCAGTTGAAAAATTGATGGCTGTCCATTAATAAGAACTTGAATGGTATTTGGCTGAGAATACATCATAACTGTCGGTAGCTTTGCTGAAATACTGGTAGTCACTATTGAAGGCTGTTGAGTTGTAACCATAACAGGTAATTCAGATATCTGTGAAAAATGATTTCCAGTTAATGTTTTTGGCAATAATGTTGATGTGCAGCTTTGAGTCGCTGTGACCGTAGCAACTGTAGGGTTATTAACGCTGAGAATGGCTTGAGAAGAATGACAAGATGTAGAGACTGGTGTATTGCTTCGAATGGAATGACGAGACTGAAATGGAAGATTACGTTATTGAAACATAAACAAACGAATTAAATTAGATGATGAAATAGGTTACAACAGACCCAAGACTTTAATCTAAATCAATTCATACGTTAGTTGGTTGGAGGATGAGTAACTAACTAAAACAATTTATAATTAATAAGTTTATTAATGACATCCGACCATTCAAAAAACACCAAAGAATTTGTTTTCAGAATCTTAACAGTGTGAAGAAACGAAATAGTTTTTCTTCACAAGTTCATTTACTTCACAAAATAATTCAAAAAGAATGACCAGCAATATTATCTTACGACGCTAAATAAAACTAGTTTTGCTGGCTGAAATGGACAATCTATTTTTAAAAAGCATATACAACCTAGTCAGATATATGTTATAATATTTAAAAACAGCATCATTGACATGGAAATAAGTCAACTTACAACCCAATCACGATGAAGTAAATAATCACTGGCATTTAGATGTAAAAGACGCCTTAAACCATTACTTATACCGTCTCCATCTGGATCTAATGGTGGACATATTAGTAAGTCGGAGTAAGATGAACTCGATTGTTTCTGTGATCCGTTATCTTTAGTGCAGAAAAATTGATATTCAAAACGTATACGATCTGGACAACCCAAAGCCAAATAAATAGTTACCAGTTTAATTTCACGTGCCATCTGATATAATTGAGAGAGAAAAAAAGAAAAGAACTGCGTCGCATCTGCACAACCGAGCCACATTAATAAATGAATGAACAAAATTCACTAAAAAATTCAAATATTTAACATTATCCAAATTATTCATTAACTACCAGCATAAATGTTCAAGACCAAGTGTTGTTAGAAATTCGATGAATAAGTTGTAAAAAGCGTGTGAACTGAAAAGTAGTACTTTATTCAGTCTTTTGCTCAACGACGAATGTAATTTTTTTAGCAAAAATGGATAGTGGCTAGCGGTGGCATGGAGGACGCGCGTTTCGTCCTATTTGTGTGTGCCTGCATCTCAGAGTTGATGTTCACTCCGGGACTTGAAACCATACCAAATGAATCTAAGTTTTTTAGATATTGAAATTGGCCAGTGGAGTTGTACTTTAAAAATTATGGAACATGAAATCAAATATGCATTTCAAAAGTATTTTGTCTAGTATCATGGTGGGAAAAATTAAAGTGGTTTCTTCAAATGAATAAATAACTACTATTTAGAAATATATATCACTAAAGAGTGACATACTGCTTTAGTTTACAGTGTTTAATAGGAAGACAGAAAGATTTACAAATTAATGATTTCCACACTAAAAATAATCAAATAAGTTGATCACATAAAGTGTGAAAACAATCCGAAGTTTAATACCATATTTTTATAATCATATTTATATTCAGTATATTTTTTTTTCAAGGTTTTTAAATAAGAGTACTTAGCCATACTAATGACTTATCGAGTAAGTTTACATAATTTTCTCCTCAATTTAAAATAGTTACGTTAAGTCTTTTTCTGCCAAAAATCACATCAATCAAGTTATTATAAATTACAATTTGAATGAAGTAGATTCATATGGTATGTTGATTTTAGTCATTCAATGACGAAATGCTGAAACAACTGAATGAATATCAAATATGTATTAGTTAGATCCATTACTACACCATTAGAAAATTGGCTTCAGTTCAAATAATTTCTGATAATAATGCGTTCAACCGTGGGATTGAACATACGTAAACAGTTTTACCTGGAAAACGTTAGTTACATATGTTGTACGGAATAAAAAAATACCCAAGTGAAATATTTACGATAACACTGATTTAAGATAACAATAATTTGTTGTATAGACAGTGTTAGTCCCAAGTATTAATCCTTTTGTGATTTCCCCTTATAACTACTGATGGATCCTTAATATTACTATATTACCTAATATAGAAACTTGTTTTGTAACAATATTCAAATATCATATAATTTACCATTCACTTATTTTACTTTCATTGTGATTAAACGATGGATCATTAATTTTTAAAAAATCAAAGAATAAGAAAATATTACAATCTATATTTTAGTGTTTTATAAAGCTGAATTCTCCCTAAAATATATAAATCTACTAAATCCCCACTGGATAAAACAAATTTAAATAATAGATGAAAGTGGATTTGCGGCAAATAAATTTATAGTTTATTCGGTTCACTGTCAAGATTTAAATCTTGAAAAGGGAATGGAAGCGAAAGTTACATGTTACCATGTGTTATGTAGTAGTGAAGACATAAGTACGGGTAACTTGCAGGACCTACTATTGGACTATCATTTTTATTGCATAACTATTCGATAACTAGATTATCTATATCTATATTCATTTTATTGTAAGCTTCATTTTGACCTATTGATTATTATTGTATGATTTACTGTTCCTAAGTTGTACTCAGTTTATTGACTATCGTCTCCCACGCTTACAGCCTCATTTGGCCTGGTTTTGTACAAATATTATTTTCTATTTTATTGTATGGTGTGGCCTGTCTGTCTGGTATATAGATAAAGTATGTTTGAAATAAACGATTTGTATTGTCGAGGCTCCTATTGGTGTTTTGGACTCAAGTGGACGGGTTAGGCGGATAAAGGCCAATAAGGACGCTAGATTACTCATACTAATCGAACGTCATTGTCACAGTGTGAAGGTCGTATTCTATCGGTGGAAAATTTACGCGAATTACGTCCTTGTTAAATTCGTAAGGTCATAATGAATCAGCGACGACCTTGATCAAGTCATAACAATTGGCTACAGTCTAGGTCAAAAACATAACACCATGATTCAGTATAAATCAATCAGGTATCAAGAAATAAATAGAGGAATGATGAAGTCATAAATTAAGGTTTACATTTAAATACCGAATCGATTGATAAATCAGTAACTTCTCATGTTCTTTTGATTGATAACTGAATCCCGAGGTCCGAAGGCGAAGTCGTACTGCTGACTGTACAGAGGTGTGAAAGCAGTAAGGTGTTTCCTTCAGACAACCAGCATGACGGCGATGCTGCCTTCCCACAAGGAGGGGTGGGGTTAGAAAAGGTCGACCCTAAAAATGCACACCTCGCCTTATCCCACGGATTTCCGTCTCCGGCGGTAAGGACTTTTGAAGAACGGAGCTAACACGTCAAAAATCCCCCACAAAAAGGCCGTGCGTGACCGGCCTCAAGCAGATGTCCCTTGGGCACTGCGGTCACGCTCCCAGGTCATTAAGACCACTTCTAACCCAATTTCCTTTTCAGGTACCCCCAGGAGAACCCTTCCACGGTGTGGGCAACCGGGAAGTGATACTAGCCCTCATACCCTTAACTGCACGCAAGACCAAGTTGGTCGCTTTCAAATCCTTCCTACACCTAATAACTCTGTTATCTCCTCGACTAACCCTTCCCACGTCCTTTTATCACGTCGCACCGCTAGGGCAAACGATTCGAGTACACAGAACGTTATTCCTGGTCTCCTGAAACCACGCTCTAAACTACATATAGGAACTTTTAATGTCCGAACATTGTGCCAAATAGGACAACAGGCTTCCTTAGCTAGGACTCTAGAATCTTACACCATCGATGTGTGCTGCGTCTCCGAAACGCGCATACAAGATCCGAGTAGTGTCATTCATTTGACCGCACCTAATCAAAATAAAGTTTCATCTCGATACACGCTTCGTCTATCTGGAAGCCATGATGCTGTTTCCCGTGGCCTCGCTGGAGTAGGTATAGCATTAAGTCGTAGGGCAGAACTAGCTCTTTTAGACTGGATCCCAGTAGACAGTCGTCTATGCGCTGTCCGACTAAACGGATCACTAAGGTCCCGGAAAGATAGGGAAACTCGTCGTTGCCTCTTCGTCGTCTCTGCCTACTCTCCCACTGACTGCAGCTCAGACGATATAAAAGATGAGTTCTACAGGAAACTTTCTGACCTTCTCCTAGAAGCTAGGCGTTCTGATATAGTAATAGTAGCAGGTGACTTTAATGCTCAAGTAGGTAAACTAAGCTAAAGGAGAAGACACCTTAGTGGATCTTATGGTGTCGTGGCTCAAAGAACAGATAATGCCAACCATCTGTTGCAGCTGTGTTCAGATAACCGCCTATTTCTTGCAAATACTAACTTTAAGCATAAAGATAAAAATCTTTTGACATGGTGACCCCCAAATCCGTTCCAACCTTGGACCCAACTAGATCACATCGCTATCAACCACCGATGAAGGGGCTCGATAGAAAACTGTCGTTCATTCTGGAGCACATGCTTAGATTCAGATCATGCTCTAGTGCGAGCACGTATCTGTCTGCGTCTTACTGGACGTAGGAAAGACACTGCAGGGAAGCCTCTAAAGGTTCTACTTAATGATAGGCAAGCTAAGAATATATTTCAGGAACAACTAGAAAAACAGTTAGGCAGCCATGTAAGTTGTGTCCACCCCGAGGCAGCGTGGAATGACATCCGAAAAGCTGTGGAAACAGCAGTGATATCCGCTAATAAGGTAAACCATAAGGTTAAGGAGAAACAATGGATCTCGGCAGCATCTATCGCACTGATAGATGCTCGTAAACTCATCCCACCTGGCACTGAGCATAACGAAGAGCGGAGTCAACTTAAGCGCAGACTAATAAGAAGCCTACGTAATGATCGTGAACAGTGGTGGGTAGCGAAAGCAACGGAGATGGAAAAGGCAGCGGCAATAGGTAACAGTAGGCAGCTATTCAGACTCGTTAAAGAAACCGGTATTAGGAACCCGAATATCAGTGAAACCATCTCAGATAAAGATGGGCATATTATTCATTCTCAATCCAGGAGGTTGGATCGATGGGCAGAACACTTTAGGGATCAGTTCAACCGGCCTTCAGCCACACTTCAATTACCCACGATCCCCAGTCGTCCTGAATGGAAAATTGATGTAAGTCCTCCAACCCTCTTTGAGGTTGAAAAAGCTATAGGAAATCTGAAGCGAGGGAGAGCAGCAGGCCCTGACAGGTTGACCCCTGAGATTTTTAAGGATGGTGGTCCAGTACTAGCAGTGAGATTGACTGAGGTCTTAGGTAGAATCTGGGAACTGGACGTAATTCCATCTGACTGGTCCCAATCACTGATTGTGCCAGTCTATAAGAAAGGACAAAAGTCCTCCTGCGACATTCACAGAGGGATCAGTTTGACTAATATAGTGTCTAAAATATTAGCTTCAATAATACTAGGTCGACTAACCAAAGCTCGTGAAGAGCAGACTAGAGAAAACCAGGTTGGTTTTCGACCTGGACGTGGTTGCATAGACCAGATATTCACCCTACGTCAGGTTCTAGAACATAGACACAAATTCAGACGTCCCACAATAGTAGTATTTCTTGACCTTAAGGCGGCATTTGACTCCGTTGATCGTGAGGTTCTATGGCAATGTTTGTCACTGAAAGGAGTACCAAAGAAGTACATTAACCTCATGAAGGCTCTCTACTCGAAAACAACTGGTCGAGTTAAAGCCTATGGCGAACTGTCATCAGAACTGATTACCACAAGTGGCGTTCGTCAAGGCTGTCCACTCTCCCCATTCTTGTTTAACTTTGTCATTGACATACTATTAGAAATAGCACTTTCATCAGCTAAACCTCCAAGAGTTGAACTTTTACCAGGAGGCTCACTTGTTGACTTAGAATACGCCGACGACATAGTTTTACTCGGTGAAGACTATGACAAAATGCAGAGTCTTCTGACCACTATAAGCAACTATGCAGGCATGTTCGGAATGCGATTCTCTCCCTCGAAGTGCAAAATGTTACTTCACGATTGGGTTGCATCGACACCTGAAATAATGATAGGGAGGGAAGTAGTTGAGCGTGTAGACCACTCCACTTATCTTGGGAGTCTCATCAGCCCTTGTGGTCTGGTATGTGACGAAATCTCAGCACGGATACAGAAGGCTCGTCTAGCTTTCGCCAACTTGCGTCACTTATGGCGTAGGCGAGATATCCGTCTAGCAACCAAAAGACGGGTTTACTGTGCAGCAGTTCGTTCCGTCCTACTTTATGGCAGTGAAACATGGCCGATAAGAGTAGAGGATATTCGTAGGCTACTAGTGTTCGATCATAGGTGTCTTCGAAGCATTGCTCGTATATCCTGGGACCACCGGGTAAGTAATGCAGTTTCTAGGAAACGAGTACTAGGTAGGGATGGCAAATCGATTGATGAAGTAGTGAAACTTCATCAGTTGAGATGGCTGGGACATGTATTACGTATGCCCGACCACCGACTGCCCCGACGTGCAATGTTTCATGGTGTAGGAGTAGGTTGGAAGAAAGCTAGGGGTGGCCAGACCAAAACGTGGCACAAATCAATGAAGTCACTGACAAGTGGACTGGGCCATGTTGGTAGGTGTAGACTACCTGGTTGAGATTCGCGAGATGACAGCAACCGATGGTTAGAGACCTTGAATGACATGGCTCAAAATCGTTTGCAATGGCGAAGATGCATCCACTCTTTGTGTTCTACCAAATTCTAATCTTCTGAATTCCTCATGTCTTTATGTTTTTCTCTTTCCAAATTTATTTCACTGTACTATACTCCTTCAATAATTTCTTCAAACCCTAATCTTTTGGATTTCTGATTATACTCCTACTACTTCTACCACTATGGGATTTGAATCGACAACTGCATCTCTGTGCTAATGTGGTATGGCAACTCGAACTGATGTACGTACGTACGAAGTTCTACGTTGTGACTGACTGACTGACTGATTTACAAAATAACTTTTAAATATGTTTATTTTATATAACATAGAAATATGTGTACTATTGAGTTTGTAATCAGTAAGAGATCCTTTAATATTAGTTCGGTAAAAATTTATGAGTTATCAATTAACGGTTCATACCAGCATAGACTGATTCATCAACTAACTTTCTTATAACAACAAGTAATGGATAACTATTTGTTATTAGTGGTAATTAATCACATTGAAAGAGTTCAAAATTAACAGATATTAAATTCATGATACTTTAAGACCTACTAGAGACGTGTTACATTATGTATTACTGAATTTCCCATCTAGTAACACGATAAACGAACAATGAAAACTATGAATCTTGGTCACTAAGTAGTGCTAGTTTAATGACAAGAGACATTATCAAATATGGATACAGCTTGGATACCACTGTAGGGGCTTTTTATCCCCTACTTATATTGAAGAGGGTTTTGTGAATGTAGTTCATTTGAATATTTCCCTCTTTGAGAATATGGTTTTATTTTTTATTTGTTTATCCTTTCGCATTTCAATTATTTTGACACACTATGATGTATGGTGCATTAAATGATACTTTAATCAATCAACAAGTCGTAAACAAATTAGCATCTGACTCCAACTGCCACAGGGCCAAATAACGAGATGAAATTAACAGGATTTGCAGCAAAGAAGTTGAAGTAATAATACCATCTAAGGTAGTGAAAAAAACTACACATAGAGAGTATAGTTCTAATAGATGGAATGAATTAGTGGGATAAAATACGTACAAAAAAATGTCGAAGCTTAAGACAAACAGTGTAAGCAATTGGGTCAATAAGACCGATTTTGAACCACATCATGACACTTCTCAATTCACTACGATCATCACGTAGAAACTAACTAGGTAGTTTGCACCTACTACCATTGCTTAGATAATCAACGATTTCATAGAATGATGCCTTGTCTTGGAATTAAACAATACCCACCCAGGGGGTTCCCAATATCTGAGCAATGCAGTAATACTGCTAACGTATGTGTGTACTGTATGTTTAGAAATCACGTTACTCGATGCTTACACTGAATTCGCTTTCAGCTAAATGTACAAAAAATACTGCTTAGCCAATTGTGATTCAAAATTACCGCATTATTTTAAATCTACCAAGTTGAGTGATTAAACAATAGAACTACAGTTGCAAGTTAAATCAATAGGTAGGACTCCAGAATCCTGGTGAACTAGCTAGATAGAGCGAGAATTTTCGAGAGAAACAAAAAATACTATTTAGAACAAAACCCTGAATAAGCATAATCATACTACCCACACACCCACCTCACGTGTAACACCGATTGATAACTGTTTCCCAAGATCTCTTAGATCTAACTCAGCATTTGACGTTGACGTAGTAATTGGCAAACTATTAGTTATTTCTGAATTTCTCAGATCTGACGCACGTAATGATGAAGATGTTAAGTTTGTTGACAGATTCGAATTAACTAAATTTGGAGATTCCACAGGATCATCGTGAACTGCATTTTGTTTTTCTGATAATCAGAATAAAAATAAAATTAGCTAATGAACAGTTTTAAACATTTATTTTTCTCAAAACGTAGCCCGGTCAAAATTGAAAAACACAATAAAAATATTTTACTCGTGTAAAAAAACGTAGGCTTAATGAATTTGGTTTGGCGAAAATATTCAGGCCAAAATAAAAACTAAATAATAACCTTATTCAAAGTTATATGTTTGGTACAATGTGGGGTTCTCAGTGTCAGATACATTGATTTTAAACAATGGTGTATATTTAAGGCAAAATAATATGACAGTGAAAGACACTTGGAAGTCGTACTCGTTGCAGATCGGTTTCATCGAAAGCACTACTGGGAACGAGGGAGCACTAAACAGATGCTATGGAGCTCTTCAAAGGTGTGGATCCATGATAGAAACGAAGACCCTTAGGTTTAGTAGAAAACACTTAAAAATTACACGGATATTATATTTCATTTCCGACATGGCTTGATCGTAAGAAAAATGAAAAGGGATTAAAGATTAAACGAATAAGTCAATACTAACCATTAGGGATTCTTTACTTTTCGTGTAACGGCACGTTTATTGTCATAACAGCTAATATTTTATGTGAATATATCACGTTATTTAATTCACTACCAATATTTCTCTAACACATAATTGAGCTACTTCTCTAATTGAGTAGCAATCTTAAGTTCTATTTTTAGAAAGAACATTTTCGTTAGATTGACGGTCAGTCAGTCAGTCAGATTATGAATACGGTGGTCTTGAGTGCTGTTAGGGGTATGAGGGCAGTTATCACTTCCTGGTTGCCCACACCATGGAAGGGTTCTCCTAGAGGTACCTGAAAAGGAAATTGGGTTAAAAATGGTCTTAATGACCTGGGAGCGTGACCGCAGTGCCCAAGGGACAACTGCTTGAGGTCGGTCACACACGACCTTTTTGTGGGTAGTTTTTGTGTTAGCTCCGTTCTTCAAAAAAAACTTTACCGCCGGAGACGGATATCCGTGGGATAAGGCGAGGTGTGCATTTTTAGGGTCGACCTTTTCTAACCCCACTCCTCCTTGTGGGAAGGCAGCATCGCTGTCATGCTGGTTGTCTGAAGGAAACATCTTACTGCCGTCATACCTCTGTACAGTCGGCAGAACGACTTCGCCTTCGGACCATGGGTTTGCTGCTCTTAGTCTTAACGCTCTTCAACCGACCTGTCTGGCATGGTAGGACCTTGAGGAACGATTGTTCCAGCCAGCATAGCTCGATTGCTTCATCACGATAGGCAAGCCCGACCACCACGTCAAGGTAGCAGCAACGGTCGAGTTAGATTGACGGTACTGTTATCAGTAGTCGCTTGTGTAAAAATGCATGAACAACACCTTTAAATATCTAGAATTATGTTGTAGTTCGGATACGTATTACAATGTACGACTGAAAGATAGGATTATAAAAAAACGCCATGTGAAAACGTATATACATTTCTGTGTTCATTCAATAGCTTATTGAAGGTTATTAAATTACAACCTGGTAATAAAATAGAGAATTAGACTCTTAACCAATGACAACCAAGTTATTATTTAGTGTTGACAAAAAGTAAACTATAAATGATCAGACATTCAAAGTTTCATACACACTCACCCTAAAAAATCGAGATAACTAAGTATGTTGAAAATAGTATGAATTAATCATTCTATGTCAATAAGATTTTTTATAGACTTGACAACCTTGAATGATTTTCACACCATACATTATAAATAGTATCGTTGGATGTATTCAACGTACTCATTCAATGACTGGATGAGAATTCAGAAAAACTTTGAAACACTTTAATGCGATTAGTTCCGCTAAAGTTCACTCGAATATAATAAATTATACTAAATTAAAACGTGCCAGATCTAGCTAGTTTTTTTTTTAAAATCTGCATTTAAATAATAAAAGAATATGGGATATGGATATAAGGGCAAGGCTTGAACCTCAACAAGAAATATGAGCAAGTAAAACTATATGGTATTTAACAAATTCTTAGGGGAACCTCGGAGGTTTATTCATTTATTGTCATATCTGAACTACTTACTTCTACAGAAATGCAAATGTTTCGCAGATTGATTTAATTCAAAAGTAGATATCACCATGATTAACATTTAAAATAAAGTAACATTGGACTAATGATTCAATGCATTTTAGCACTATTTAATAGTTAGTACTCATAAGACATTAATTTTTGACAACGAACATAAAATAATTCTGCACTATAGAGTTGTGAAATGACGATGTGTTATTAGCTTAATTCACTGAGTCTCAGACTAGAACTCTGCCTTATTTACTTTGGTTTAAATAGTCAGTCAGTCACAACGTAGAACTTAGTACGTACGTACATCGGTTCGAGTTGTCATACCACATTAGCACAGAAATGCAGTTGTCGATTCAAATCCCATAGTAGTAGAAGTAGTAAGAGTATAAGCAGTAATCCAAAAGATTAGGGTTTAAAGATGTTATTCAAGGAGTATAATCCAGTAAAATAAATTTAGAAAGAGAAAAAAGAAAGGGACACGAAGAATTCAGAAGGTTCGAATTCGGGAAAACAAAGGGTGGATGCACCTTTGCCTTTGCAAACGATTTTGAGCCACATCATTCAAAGTCTCTAAACATCGGTTACTATCATTTCGCGAATACCAACTAGGTAGTCTATGTCTGCCAACATGGCTCAGTCCACCTGCCAGTGACTTCATCTTTTGTGCCACGTTTTGATCTGGCCACCCCTAGCTTTTTTCCAACCTACTCTTACACCATAAAACATTGCACGTCGGGGCAGTCGGTGGTCGGGCATAAGTAACACATGTCCCAGCCATCTCAACTGAAGTTTCACTACTTCATCAATCTATTTACCATCCTTACCTAGTACTCGTTTCCTAGAAACTGCATTACTTACTCGGTGGTCCCAGGATATACGAGTAATGCTTCGAAGACACCTATGATCGAATACTAGTAACCTACGAATATCCTCTACTCTTATCGGCCATGTTTCACTGCCATAAAGTAGGACGGAACGAACTGCTGCACAGTAAACCCGTCCTTTGGTTGCTAGACGGATGTCTTTGCCTACGCCATAAATGACACAAGTTGGCGAAAGCTAGACGAGCCTTCTGTATCCGTACTGAGATTTCGTAACATACCAGATCACAAGAGCTGATGAGACTCCCAAGATAAGTGAAGCGGTCGATACGCTCAATTACTTCCCTCCCTATCATTATTTCAGGTTGCGATGCAACTCAATCCTGAAGTAACATTTTGCAATTCGAGGGGAATAATCGCATTCTGAACATGCCTGAATTGTTGCTTATAGTAATCAGAAGACTCTGAATTTTATCAGCGTATTAACCAAACAGAATTATGTCATCGGCATATTCTAAGTCAACAAGTGAATTTTCTGGTGGAAGTTAAACTCCTCTAAATTTGGATGAGGAAAGTGTTATTTCTAAAAGCACGTCTACGATAAACTTAAAACAAGAATGGAGAGGGTGGACAGCCCTAACAAACACCATTTGAGGTAATCAATTCTGATGACAGTTCATCATAAACTCTCACTCGGCCAGTTGTGTTCGAGTAGAGAGTCTTTATAAGGTTAATGTACTTCTTTGGCAATCCTTTCAGTGACAAACACTGCCACAGTACCTCACAAACAACAGAGTCAAATGCCGCCTTAAGGTCGAGAAATACTACTGTTTTGGGGTTTCTGAATGGGTGTCTATGTTCTAAGAGCTGACGTAGAGTGAATATCTGGTCTATAAACAATTAACTAGAAAGATATTTAATATTTGTTGGCTGGATATCGTCAGCAACAACCCACTAATGACAGAGAACAAACCAACTTCCAACTGAAGAAGAAATTAGAAACAGACGCTGGAGGTAGGTAGGACATATATTGAGGAAATCATTAAGCTGGATCATGAGGCAAGCCCTAACTAGAAATTCTGAAGTAAAGTGGCAGATCAAGGTACACATCGCGTCAAGGATTTGAGGTAGAAATCGAATGAATGAATAGCACTTGTAAACAACTGGAGAGGAGAGTTGAGGACCGAATTTGTTGTAGAGTCCTAGTCGTGGGCTTACGCTCCACTGTGGATAGCATGCGTAGTATTTCATGATCTGAAGAAGGGTAGAGGCATATTACATAAACTCAACTTTATAACTTTACTGTTACAAACTTCATCTAGGTCGTACTAAATGAAGGAAGCGAGGATCTTTGAACCTATGGGGCATGGACTGATTTACATTTAGTAAGTGTTGGACGGAGACAACGATATGGTATTACACAAAAACAGTAAATTTATTGAGTATTTAGCAAATTCAACTACCGTAGTTACAACAGTTAAGCGTTTGTCTGCAATTATAATTACATAACTACCGCTGTACAAAAATTCACAACGACCTTGGAAAAAATCAAATGAAGCTAGAAATTCAGCTTTAAATCAAGATTATGTTGTTGTTACTTGATAATCCATGTTAACCATATTACTATAACTGATTCATTTCAATTTTCTGGTTTCATAAAAACTTTTGTGACTACTTAACGTGCCTAGGAACGAAAAAATTTAATATTTCTGAAAGTATTATATTGACACTTTTTGTTAGATAAATTGAAAAACGAATACCACGAAATACAAAATCTAGACCTGACAAATAATTGATTTTTTTGAAAAAAAAAAACAATTTTAAAATCACTCTCATCACGATGAAGCTGATTAGCATATATTTCAATCACATTTACGTTTTAAATGAATTCATTTTGATAAGTTACTTTTTAAGAAAAATGTGACTGGTTTATGCAAATCAAAATATTTCACTTTTTTTCAATATCTTGTTCAATTGATATAACGGAATGAATTGTTGAATAATTATGAAAATCAATAGATAAATACAAATGCTGACATTTGATTTGATTTTATACTATTCCATTTGAGTTAAATTGTTCATGTCTTCAAGAACAAACTATTGATAATTGAAACACAGTATTGTTTCGGGGTTTTATTGTTTTATAAACAATATTCATTTTATTAAATACGTACGTAGTTTGTAAAAATGTTAATCAAGGTTTGATTAAAGTTTAAAGTAATACATACAGTCCACTAATCCTGCTCACACACTACTACTCCAGATGGTAGATTTATTAGCCATATTAGCCATATATTTTAGCCAGATTTTTCAAAGTAACCAACTAGATATTACAAGCTTTACACACTTTAAATTTGTCATATACTTCTGAAACTGGGGTCAAATTTGATTTATTTATGTCAGCATTTTGTAGTTCATAAATAAACAGATGATTGTCATCCACTGATCATATGAACTACTTATCAGAAATGGTGTACAGTCTAGTTTTCCAATAGCTTTCTCAGACAATGTATATTACAAGATTCAGTATCCATTATCTTTTTTCTAAAAACACCTAACAAACTATGGGGTTACAAAGTTGAGTCATTTCTAGTTTAGGTCAGTGATATTGTTGTATCCCGAAGAGAATTGCGAGTGGTAACTTTTAAGGATTATTTATTGGTCAATGTAATATGTATATTGCCTATTGTGTAATTGTTAAATAACTAACCAAATCATATTCATTGTTCCTCTTATCATTAACTTTATTTTGACCTTTGTACTTTTATCATACGATCCTTGAGTTATCATCAGTTTATTGATTACTATTCACAGCCACATTCGGCTGAATATTGTACAAATGTTATTATCTATTTTATGGGTCAATATGGTCTGTTTGGTTGGTATATAAACTCAGTATGTTTGAAATACAATGATTCATACCACTGAGGCTGTTATTGGTGTTTTGGACTTAACTGGCTGGGCTAGGCAGATCGTAGGATTGGTTAGCACTCTAGTCTGCTCGTCACTGTTCCAGTCGATAATTCGCTGCTCCCTAATTGGCGGTCTCTCGCAAGACACACATAAACTAGGCATCCACTCGGCCACAAGATATAACAGATATATAGCAATAGTTTGCATGATCCAATATTGTTTTAGACGAAACATTTTAGAGCTTTCTTGAACTACATCTATTTCACTAGCCAATCATAATTTAATAATATTCAAGTGGAATAATCTTTAAAATTTTACAGTAGGCTAAGATAAATAAAAAGTTAAAATTTAAAGAGAAAAATGATACGTCGTTTATTTTATTTATTTGCATCAAATGGAACATACCTGTGGGGCATACATTTGATTGCATCCTAGATTTAGGGAGTTTGGTATCCATTCGATCTAAATAAGCACGTAATCCAATGTCCCCTGAACGAATTCGTGCCACTTCTTGTATGCGAATAGCTCCATCGATAGATTGACGATAGCATAAGTTGAGCATAACCGATGGGACTGGGGATTCGTGGACCGCTGGGAAACCAAGAAGTGTTCTCTGAAAAGGATAAATGCAGTCACCGAACTGTTACATACTACTAAGAAAGAATTAAATGTTTTAAAATCTCTTATCTTATGCAGAACATTGTCACAATTGGTGAGTTTACAAACGTTAAAGAATAGTTCGAATCCAGACATAATAAAGAAGGTAGAATATATATATATATATATATATATATATATATATATATCATTCATAGGTAATCACGTTAAGATCAATTTGAATTCAAGTTTCAATAAACAAGTGAGAATTTTAAATAGTGCTGGGAGTCATGGCTGCCCAGAGGATTGTTAGCTACACAAAATTGAAGGTGATCCTCCTCAGTCAACACAGGATCAACAATTTTCAACCGATGATTATGATTATCTTTCGCGACTAAGTCAGTCAACCACAATGTAGGACCAAGCACATATGTGCATCAGTCCAAGTTGCCACACCTCATAAGCATAGCAAGATGAACACCAAAATCATAGGAGCAGTTACTTCGATGGTAGTAATATATATAAGAAAGATTGTGTATAAGGATATAATACAGGAAGAAAGAATTAGTCCGTAGAGAAAAATGTTTGAAGCAATTTCAATCTCAAGGTTCAACGGGAGATAGACAGTGTATACACCTATGCCATTGTGATTGATTCTGAGCTATATCACACAGTCCCAAACCCTTGGTTACGATAATCACGTGGACCCCAACCAAGTAGTCTGCATCTACTGACAAGGCTAAGAATAGAAGTTAGTGACTTCAAGCACCAATGCCACTTTTTGGTTTGACCACCAATAAATCTCTTCCAACTATCGCTAATACTAGTCAGCATAGCACTTCGTAGTAATCGGTGTTCAGGCATACGTAACACGTAGCCCAACCGTCTCAGTCGATGAAGATTCATCACCTCACCAACTGATTTACCATCGTTCCCTAATACCCCGCGTCTAACCTCACTATTACTTACGCGGTGATCCCAGCAGACGTGAGCAATATTTCCAAGGCATCTGTGGTCAAATACTAGTAGCTTACGAGTATCTTCTACTCCTAATGACCATATTTCGCGGCCGTAAAGTAGAACAGAATGAACTACCACGCAGTATACTCGTCCCTTAACTGATAGACGGATATGTCGTCTTCGCCATAGGTAACGTAAGTTGGCAAAAGCCAAACGAGCTTTTTGAATCCGTGCTGAGATTTCGTCAGACACCAACCCATTAGGGCTAATCAGACTTGCAAGATAAGTGAAGTTGTAGACGCGTTCGACTACTTCACTCTCTATCCTTAGTTCAGGTGTTGACGCAGGCGACTAAATCCCATTGATTATCATGAAATATATAAAATGTCTTTGAAACTTATACTCTTCTCAAGATTCGACCACGCATCAATCAGTACAGAGTACTTCTATGTGACCCACTGACGTTTATCGACAACACAATAGTTGTTGAGTTAAACTCTTCAATAGGTCATTTCACTACTTATAAGTAGCTTAAATGAAGCACAATAATTGCCACCTTTACTAAAAAACATCTTATTAAAACATATGAGAATTGTGAAATTACAATTATTTCGTAACCCAAATTAATCAGTTTACAATATTTCTAAAACTCAATATTCACTTTGCAGACTAAACTTAAAGCTCAATCAGATGAGTAGTAATCATTCAAAATTATGTTTATAATTATTATCTAGTGGATGGAATATTTCATAATCACAAATGTTTTACTCAAGATTTGAATATGCCATAAGTTGTACTGACTTTGAATATAGTCTGTGAAGGCATACATTCAAAGTATATGGTTAAGCTAAATTAGCACTTGCTAAAGAACAATCATTACAATTCGCTACATAATATCTACCATACGTTCAGCAGCCAATTGCCATTTGTTTTCCACTAGAAAAATAACATCTGAAAGTTGACGATTAATATCAACGCGTAATCTTAAACGGGGATTTTGCTCTGCCTCGATTACTCTCCACGCATCCGTTTGTGTCCGTGGAACTAATTCAATCCATACATCTTCGGGAAGTAGGAATTCATGTGTAGGTGCTAAAATGTGATTTGAATAAAAAAAACTGCATCATTTTAGTTGAAAAAATTTTAAATTATTTGTTAAATGCATCCTCTACAAGACCAAATACCTAAATACTATGCCTAATGTTCTATAGACGAAAATCCTATTTAAAATAAAAATATGTTAGTTATTAAAGACGGGAAATTAAAAAACCGATAAATCAAGGACAACGTGTAACCCATATCCGAAAATACCAGTCAGTGAATATTCACAACTTAGTAAACCAATCCACTATCTCGATATAGTAAACTGAACTTAACCTTAATATCACTTGCTTGGATTCTTACCATGAAATAGCAAAATTTCAAAGACAATTTTTATCGAATACTTGTAATACATACGTATTTTCTACATTCAGTAGACCATATTTTACAGAAGTAGAGGAGATTATTGAGTTAACTGATTCTGGATTCTGTCCAATATGTATGAGCTGGAAAAACGCAAGTAGCACATAAGTTATATATAAGTAATGGCCTTCGGTTAGCTCCTTACCTCTTAATTCTTATGGCTGAAAAAGGAAATTTATAGAGCGCTGTGAAATTGCTGGGGATAATTTTTTTCTGATCAACCTTGTCTTAGAAAACCCAGAACACCTGAAATATTAGTTGATGGTCATGTCGCTATACAATCAGCAGTACAACTTTGCTTTAGAGCCAAATATTTATTGCTTCTGGTTATTATCACTTTCTAGCAACCCACTTGATGAAGTGTGGCTTTGTCATGACGTAATCAGTTAGCTGAAGTCAATTCTATGATTTGCAGTATATCCAGAACTAGATATCAAGAACACAAATATTAATCTGAGTCGCATCAATTAGGATCTTGAGTTACCGTATTGTCCATTCAGATAAAATACGAAGCGTTATTAGCAGAAAACATCCAAATATAATAAAAAAGCTAGGAACAAGAATGCCATACCAATGCATTTTAATAATTACAGGTCGATTAAATTAAAAATATTATGTATGTATAATTATGAATTACCACCATACCAGAGATGTTATTCAATTGCTTCAAAGCAGGACAAACAGGAGTACGTAACAAAAAACGGCGCCCATTGTGTTTGATTACAGTAGTACTGGAACAAAGAAACATGACAAGACAAAAAATATTGTGTATTAGAGAAATTTAAATATTTATAATATGTACACGTATTATTATTTAAATTCCATGTCTCCTTACTAGGCGTTTAAACTTATGAATAACTTCCTGAGTTAAACAACATAAATACCACAGTACACGATTCCATACTTACATAGGCAAACCAACCAGTCATAAACTCAAAATAGTAAAAATAGAATGAAGTGTTGTCGATATCTTTACAAGTGATGAACGTAATGACTTATATTCAAGGTCTGCTTAATTATGAAAAACTAACAACAATAATGTATCAAATATGACCAAGTTTCAACTAACAAGTAGTTGACAGAATCAGACAACATATTTCACACCAAAAAATGTAAAACTAAAGTACTCATACACCGAAAATGTATTCGTCTTATTCACAGCATCCAAACGAAAAGTCTATATCATCTTTGTGATTAATCGGCTGAAATCTTTCCCTATTTAAAAATAAACCAAAAATAATAACACAGGAAATATAGTAAAAATGGAAAACAGCATTCACAATTAGTATGGATTTAAGTAACATCTTACCACAAGTTTAAGCAATCAAATGAATTCACACACAAGACCTTCAGCAATATCTGTTTATTGATAAGCACTGCTTGGAACGTTTTAGTAACGTATAATTTCACATTGGCCTTAAAACGAAGCACATAAGCCATTTTGTAATAATAGTATTACTGGGCTCCAAATTTAAAATGGATTAAATATTTTTTTCACTGTTGAAATCATGAGTCAATTGAAGCTAGACCACCATCGACTACCTGGAAGCACTGGACGGCCGTTTCGTCCTATTATGGGACTCCTCAGCAGTGTGCATCCACGATCCCGCACTCGCGGGATTCGAACCCAGGACCTACCAGTCTCGAGCCGAAGCCCTTAACCGATAGACCACTGAACCGGCATCCAACGGTGTTAATGTCTAACTTCAACCAACCCACGATTTTGAGCGACCGTTCACCAATTGTCTTCAGTGAGTTGATATCTCTACAACAGACTTGGTAGAACTCCACTGGCCACTGTGGGATCGTGGATGCGCACTGCTGAGGAGTCCCATAATAGGACGAAACAGCCGTCCAGTGCTTCCAGGTTTTCGATGGCGGTCTAGCTTCAATTGACTCATGATTTCAACAGTGAAAGTACTAAATTCTCCACAAAACCGCCTCTGATAAAATTTTTTTAACAAACCTCACATAAATACACCAGTTAGGATAGTATTATGTTCGAGCAATAATTAATGACTTCATATAATATTTAGGTATGGAACGTTTACTCATGTCCAAAGTTTATAAGTTCCTAATAGAGTGATTTATTCTTTCAAAAAAAGTTATAGGAGCAAAAGTAGATCTTCTCCTGGAATGATTTCAAACGAGTCTAGTTTAGTGGAAAGGAGCATCCTAAATGCCATTCCGGTTTTTCACTGAAATCAAATTCCCGAGCTGAATTCTAAATAACGTCTTTGCGAGAGAGGGTATTCGTATTAAAGCTTGACTTTGTAACTGAGACTACTCTCCATTGTGTTTCAGAGGTTTTTAATGCCTTAATCGTATTATCTTGGTCAACAGATACGCCGAGTAACTTGCTATGTAGGATTGTTCTGGAAGCCATCTCTATGATGACCTTTCTGATCCACTACTGGGAATAATTCGGACATAGTCTCAACGAATTTCAGGAAATAAGTAACGCCCAAATGTCTTAAGTGAACCTCACGTGAACTTGGCTTAGACATCTGGATCAAATTAAACCTAATTTTTTGATGTGAAGATATGAACAACAGAAAAGTATAAGTAACAAGCCATTTAAATACACTAATGAAGTTCATAGATTTGCAAGGAAGATATATTATTTTATCTCTTAAATTCAGACAGAATATCTCATTCAACAGATTACGAGGCAAGGAACTGTAAAATTACGTCACATCGGCTGTGGATAAAAACAAGCTAAATAAAATAAGTTCAAAATAATACAAGCAAGTTACTTTTTATTACAACAAAGCAGTGACCAAAAATCACACACCCACAATGAACTAATTCGTTTAATTTTTCTCCCAATCGGTGATCCAATGCTAAAATGACAGATAAAAAAACAGAAACTAGGGCGAAAATGTAACTAGTATTGTTAGAGAGATAGAATAGAAAAACGACCTAATGTAAGTCGCTTCTGCCGAGAAGTGAATAACCAAATTAAATTAACAAGTTTAAAAACAGTACACAGGAATGAAACGGAATATACAGTGTGAATAAAATTCAGGTCTGACTACAGTAATGTCAAGTTATTTCGGTCCAAGTGATTCTGTGTAAAATAAACTCGTGTATTTGAGTGTATTCTAGCAGATGTGATAAGTGTGACATTTTTAATGTGGAAAAAAATAGTTATATTTGTGTTAATAGTGTAAATGGAATCAAATGTGGTTGTTTGAATAAACGGTCCAAGTTGAATGAATAGTTGGACCTTCAAAGAGCAGAGTTTAAAACCATATGAAAAGCTTCAACTACTTGCCTTTATTCATAGTTGGAGAAACCTTTTGAACCCATTTAATACTTTTGATACCGATTTGATGGTGGTTACAAATGGTATGTACTTCTACTGCTGACTTGATTTGAAGATCTTTCACTTGTACATGATTAGCATGAGTGAGGACTTCGCGAGAACACTCCAATACACAAGATATCACAACTAGCACAACCTGATCTGTAGGTACAATCCTGGACGGCAGGGAGTTAAAAAGGTCCCCTCCTTTATTAGAAATAAATAATTTTAGTCAGTCAGTTACAACGTAGGACCAGGCACACATATGTATCGGTCCAAATTGCCATACCTCGTTAGCACAACAAGATGAACATTGGATTCATAGAAGTAATTAATTTAATGGTGGTAGTAGTATATAAATTATAGGTTGTATATAAGGATATAGTACAGGAAGGAAGAGAGATATGAAGCAATTTTAATCTCAAGGTTTAAGGGAAGATAAAAAGTGTATACACCTACGCCATTGTGATCGATTCTGAGCCATGTCACCTAGAGTCTCCAACCATTGGCTACGATAGTCACGCGGACCCCAACCAAGTAGTCTGCATCTGCCAACATGGCTCAGACTAGAAGATAGTGACTTCAAGTACTGACGCCACGTTTTGGTTTGGCCGTCCCTAACTCTTTTCCAACCATCCCCTACACTAGTCAGCATAGCGCGTCGTGGTAATCAGTGTTCAGGCATACGTAACACATGGCCCAACCATCTCAGCTCCCAAATGCCCTGGTACGGCCGAGAGTGGGGAGAGTCCGCTCTCCCTCTCGAAATGCTCTCACATGGCCAGCGAATATATAGCCTCTGCCAGGGAAGTCCTACTCACTGCCTTGTCGTGCCACGGGTGTTGTTTACGAAAGTGAGAGGACGAAAAGCGAATGTCCGGCGCTATAACCGGATTGGTGGACACGGAGGGTCCACCTAAGGGAGTTGGAAAACCCTCATTCCAAACCAATGGTGCACATGGGCTCCAGTATCCTGAAGGAACGAATGGCGGAAGAACCTATCATTGGTCAACGGCTACCATGGGACTGCATCTCCTCACGATGCTCCACTGCCTTGTGGATCAGACCTTTAGGTCAAAGGCTCGGGGTGTGGTCCCCTAAGAAAACCACCTGCTTCGGTTTGGGCACCCGGGCAGTATCACAGCCCACACACAAATGAATGAAATGATGAACTCTATTGACGATAATATCCCCGCTCATACTAAAAGCAAGACAATTTACATTATTATTATTACCTTTATTATTATTATTATTATCATTATTATTATTCACCATATCGCTAACTCACCCCTTTTATCCCCAATTTGTGTAACCTTACTTTTCAACTTAGGCAGCAGCTCGCCCATGGTGGAAAATCTGTCCTATCTAAACGATCTAAAGTCACTGTCTGGTTGAAAGTGAATGCTTCCACCGATTACGAATACTGAAGCAGTCTTTCTGAAACCACATACGCCGTTCAAGCTGGCTTCCTTCAACGTTCGCACACTAATGCATATCAGACAACAGATAGGGCTGGCTATGTCTTTGGAAGGTCTTAATGTTGATGTTTGTTGTCTATCCGAGACCCGTATTCAAGACTCTAGTGAAGTACTACAAATCCGCTCTCCATCCGTCGCCTCGAAAAGCTTGTTCCACGTGCGCTTATCCGGGGACCCTGTGGCATCTTCGTCTGGTCTGACTGGCGTTGGTGTCGCACTAAGCGCTAGGGCTGAGGCAGCACTAATCGATTGGATCCCCATTAACAGTCGGTTATGTGCTGTTAGATTAGAAAGTTCCATCAAAGTGAGAAGAAATCGGCGTGAGAAACGGTGTTTTTTCGTCATCTCCGCCTATGCCCCGACAGATTGCAGCCCGGATGCAATCAAGGATGAGTTTTACCATCAGTTATTCTCCAGAAAGCGCGTTCGACAGATATTGTAGTACTAGCCGGAGACTTGAATGCTCAGGTCGGGCATCTAGGCACAGAAGAGAGTCGTTTAGGTGGCCGATGGGGACTTGTTGGTCGCAGGACAGATAACGGGGACCGTTTGCTGCAACTGTGCACAGACCACAACCTGTTTCTGGCCAGCACTAACTTCCGGCACAGTCATCGCCGGTGTGCCACCTGGCGTCCTCCCTCTGCATCCCAAGCCTGGACTCAGATTGATCACATCGCGATCAGCTACCGCTGGCGTGGTCGTGTACAAGACTGCCGCTCCTTTTGGAGTCTGATCATGCCCTGGTCTGCGCCAATCTCACCTTACTTTTCAGTGGCCGAAGGATTGACCACCACCAACGGATTGATATTAGTAAACTGGCTGCAAATTCTGTTGCAAGTAAGTATCGAGCGGAGCTAGCCTCTAGGCTAGCTACCACCCCACCGAAAAGTATAGATGAGCATTGGTTGCATCTTCACGACGCCATGAAAATGGCGAGTAAAGCCGCTTGCGGCTTCGCGAAACGTCCCGCTTACAAGCACTGGGTTTCTTCTGGCTCCTTACAACTGATGGAAGCCCGTCGGTCTACTCCGGGTGACCGTGAGTTTGACCACAAACGAAGGCTGTTGCGTAATGAAATCGGGCAAAGCTTGCGTAAGGACCGGGAAGCCTGGTGGTCGGAGCGTGCTAATGAGATGGAAGAAGCAGCTGGATCTGGTAACTGCCGGAAGCTCTTCTAACTCATCCGAGCCACTGGCAGCAAGAAGTCTGGTGTGAATGAAACAATCTAAGAGGATGACGGGATGCCAATCACTAACATCTGTCGACGTCTTGGACGATGGGCGGAATTCTTCGAAGGGCAGTTCAACTGACCTGCTGCTCCGGCAACATCAACCAGCTTGCCCTGCCCCCCATGGCCGGTGACGACTGATCCACCAAACGAGGCGGAAGTCCGCAAGGAACTCCAACTCTTGAAACGTTACAAATCACCTGGCCCAGATGACTTACCTCCGGCTCTTTCTAAAGATGGTGGTGACTTTCTGACTAAGGAATTGACTGTATTGTTTGGAAAGGTTTGGGAGCAAGAAAATGCTCCAACATCTTGGAATGAGTCAATAGTCGTCCCTATCTTTAAAAAGGGTTCACGTTGTTCCTGCAATAACTATCGGGGGATAAGTCTACTTCCGATTGCGTCCAAACTATTGGCTTCTATCATTCTTCGTAGGTTGTTTAAAACCCGAGAACGATTGACTCGCGAGGAGCAGGCTGGTTTTCGTTCTGGTCGAGGATGCATTGATCACATCTTCACCCTCCGCCAAATGTTAGAACACCGTCATACTTATCGCAGGCCAACAATCGTAGTGTTTCTTGATATCAGGGCTGCCTTCGATTCGTTGGACAGGACTGTTCTCTGGGATTGTCTATTGAAGAAGGGTGTGCCTGAGAAGTTCATCAACATCTTAAAGGCCCTGTATACGAACACCTCAGGCAGAGTGAGGGCATACAACCACCTTTCTCCCTTGTTCCATTCGAGCAGTGGGGATAGGCAGGGTTGCCCAATCTCACCATTCCTCTTCAACTTTGCCATCGACGACATCCTAGAAACAGCTCTGATGGATGTAAGTAATGGCGGTGTGGATCTGCTGCCTGGAGAACGACTTCTCGACCTTGAGTATGCGGATGATATTGTCTTACTGTGCGATAATGCCCAAGCCATGCAATCCGCACTTAATCAGTTGGCAATCAGTGTCCGCAGGTACGGCATGTGCTTTGCACCCTCCAAGTGCAAAGTACTCCTACAAGACTGGCAGGATTCGCATCCTGCACTCACCCTGGATGGTGAGCAGATTGAAGTAGTCGAGAAGTTTGTGTGTCTAAGCAGCTATATAAGTGCTGGTGGTGACGTGAGTGATGAGATTGATGCACGTATAATGAAAGCCAGAGCGGCTTATGCCAATCCGGGCCACCTTTGGCGCCTTCGTGATGTTAGTCTGGCTGTAAAAGGTCGCATCTACAACGCGTCGGTGAGAGCAGTTTTGCTCTATGCTTGTGAAACCTGGCCTCTCCGAGTTGAGGATGTTAGACGTCTCTCTGTGTTCGATCATCGTTGTCTCTGAAGGATTGCTGACATACAGTGGCAACACCATGTTAGTAATGCAGAGGTTCGGCATCGTGTGTTCGGGCGCCGAGACGATAATTCAATTGGTGTCACCATCTTGAAACACCGACTTCGGTGGATTGGACATGTTTTACGAATGACGTCCCAGAGACTTCCACGTCGTGCATTATTTGCCGACTCTGGGACTGGTTGGAAAAAGCGGAGAGGAGGTCAGTGTATGACATGGTGTCGTGGCATGAAAGAAAGCTGCAAAGGGCTAGCTTCTGTTGGTCCTTCACGACTCCCTGGTTGGGGTCCGAGAGATGGTGCAACACAGTGGCTAGAGACGTTATCAGATATGGCTCAGAATAGAAGCCAGTGGCGATCCTGCTGCAACCTTGTTTTACTTTCTATATAAAAAATGGTTCTAACTTTCCTAACTGAAAGAGTCTTCTGGTTGTACATTTTAGTCCGCATTATCTTTTCATCCCTTCTCTTCCTACTTTAATTATTTTGTGTGGC